TCTTTACACCCCCTGCCCCCCTGAAAGCCCCCCCAGAACCCCCAGACCCATCTAACCTCCCCCGCTCCCTGTCCCTGACTGTCCCAACCCCTCTCCACACTCCTGCCCCCTTGACAGCCCCCCCCACCCGAACTCCCGACCCATCCAACCCCCCTCCCTGTCCCCTGACCAGGGCCGGCTTTAAAGAGCTCAGGAATCGGACTGCGCTCCGGCCGGAGCTCCGGCCTGGGTTGCGGGGCTTGGGGCCTGGCCGGAGTTGCTGGGCCGGCGCGCTCGGCCGGAACTGGTGCTGGTGCTGCTGGGGGCCCGAGCCGGGCCAGTGCGCTCGGCCGGAACCGGGGCTGGTGCGGCTGGGGGCCCGAGCCGGGCCGGGGGCGCTCAGGCGGAACCGGGGCCACCGCCCTGGGGCCTGAGCCGGGCCAGAGCCGTTGGGGCCGCCGGGCGCTGCTCGGCCTGGGCCAGAGGGAGCTGCTCGGCCAGGGCCGCGCCCCCCCCGGAGCTCTCCTCCTCACGCCCCACCGCCCCAGCTTACCTGCTGCTGCCTCCCTCCTGCCCCTGCTTCTTTTCAGACTTCCCGCAAAGATCTGATTCGCGGGACGCAGGGGAGGTGGAGGAGCAGGTGGGCGGAGCATTCAGGGGAGGGGAGGAGGGGGAAGACAGCTGCGGGGCCCGTGGCGTGGTAAGGCTGCAGGGGATGGGGGGAGCCAGGAAGGGGCTTTGGCTGCCCAGCGGCACTTGGCCGCTGCTTTTCTGTCTATAAATAGCCAACCGGGGGGAAATCCCGGACATTTTTAGATTTTTAAAAATCCCCCCCGGACGGCTATTTATAGACCAAAAAGCCGGACATGTCCGGGGAAATCCGGACATATGGTAGCCCTATTTCAGAGGCCACTGAAGCATACAGTGTTGGCTTTCTTGGAGCGCTTCCCTCTCACCTGCCCCCTCTCTGTTAACTTCAGGCCCCCCAGCGTGGCAGAGGAAGGAGAAGGGGGATAAACAAAATCAAAGGCTGACAAGGAGGGTTCCCCCCCACTCCAGGGCAGTGCAGAGAGATGGGGGACTGTGATTAAGGGGGAGAAACAGGGTGACAGAAATCTGTCACATTGCGTGTGTGTGTGTGTGCGTGTGTGTGTCCTAGAGCAGACAGCCGCACAATTAGCAGGGGTCTGAAGGGAAGGGGGAGGGGAGCTCCCTCCTTTTACCCTTCCTCCCCTGCCAGGAGCTCTGATCTTGGTGCCTCCTCAATAGAGTAGGGGCTGGCTGTCTGCATTGATCCCTGCCACCCTCAGAGCCGATCCTCCTCAGTCACCTGTTAAATACACCAATAGATTTTTTTGGGCTGACTGCCCTGCCCCAACTTCCTGATTCTCCAGGTGAGGGAGCTGCTTTTCCACTAGAGAGCCAGTCCTACAGCCAAAGGGTAAAAAGTTTTCTCCCCGGCATGCTGGTCTAACTGCTTTTGTAATGTGTGGTTTGGTGTATGGTAGGTCAGCTTTCCCCTCTACTTTGAGCTCTACGATGGGATATTCTATCCATAAACGTTCAGTTTGTCCCTGTATTAGCCAGGACTCCTCGTGCCCGCACATTTCTGCACCAGGCCTGACTCTTTCCAGGTGGCGTTCCGCACCTTCATTGCTTTTCATTAATTTCCCCGGCAGTGCAGATTGTTGGGAGGGAATCTTACCTGATTTCTGAAGTCTCACCTCCGTTAGGAAGTGAGCAGAAGCATGTTCCTGCGGACAGAGTCTAGGGCCAGGAGTTGGACAACAGAGGGTTTTCTTCTCAGCTCTGCCGCTGACCCGTACTATATGGTCTTGGGCAAGTCACTTACCCTTTCTGTGTCAGTTTTCCTCTGCAGAATGTAGAACACCTTGTGCTCTGTAGGTGACAAGTGTGGTGTAGGTGCTAAGTAATGTTCTCTACTGACACATTTGTTTTCCATCGATGAAAGAGTAATGTGGCAACTGTCCAGTTTAGAATTAATCGACTCCGTTGTTGGTCTGAGATTTCTTCTGCTTCAGAAGCATCTGCAGGTGAGGATCCCAGTGCGCCACGGGCAGGTATACCTCAGGGACCAGGGCACAGTGCCTCACGAAATCTTGACTGGCTGCTCCAAGTTCCCTCTTTTTGCTTTAAACAGCACCTAGCATCCCCAATGAGGTAAAGCCCTGTTGTGCCAGGTGCTGTACCCACACCCAGCAAGAGACAGTCCCTGCTCCAGAGATTACAGTCTAAGTAGGCAATGCAGGCACACAAGGTCAAAGGAAAGAAAGATTGTCCTCTCCGTGTTACAGGTGGGGAACTGAGGCATGGGGTGGTTGAGTGACTAGCCCAAGGTCATCCAGGCAGACTGTGGCAGAGCCAGGAACAACCCCCTCCAGCCCTTAGCTCATTCTTTTTTTTTTTTACAGTGTTACTGCAGTAATTTTTCAGAGAGTCCTGGATATCAATCATGTCAAAGGGTGTGGTAGTGGTGCTCTGCTCTGTTGTGGCCAGGTGCACTGCCTTTGCTGCCCTATTCTTGTGTCGTCTTTGCATTTCTCTCCCAGTCCATCCTTCCCCTCTCTCCAGCTTTTCATGTGAGTTCAGATTTAATTTTTTTTTAGCGCCGGAATTAAATCCAGCACCATCTGCAGAACTCACTAGGTTCCTTATTTGCATTAGATTAGCATATTTTTGCTGAGGAATGATCAGCCCTCTGAATGGCTGACTCTGCTAATCCACATCTGAATAAAGCCAGGGGTAATTCCACTCCCCTAATTATCCCCTGGTAATCTTCTTAGTTAGTATCAAGCTCCGCTCTTGGCAGGCTAATTGCATTGCTGGATAATGAGATTTGTGTTACACGGGGCTATATCGCTTCTCCTGGCAGAAGGATGGGGAGGTGCACTGAAGCATGCAGCAAGACTAGAGAGGAAATCATGGCCTTCCAGGAGGATATGCTTTAGAAAGTGTTGCCAGTTTATGGAGTCGGAACGGAGGCTGGATCTAAACAACCTACCCTGCTATCGCTGCTTTCTAAAGGCAGGGTTGCCTGAGGACCGAAGCACATTGGTGTCAGCAGGCGTCAGTGCCGAGGCTGCTGAATTCTTGTGCCAAGCAGGATTGGGGGAGCTAAGTGCAATTCCTTTGTTCAAAAACACTTAAAAACCTTAATTTTCTCCAGCTGCTTGTAGTGTGAGGGGGAAGGAAAATAGTATGAACCTTGCTGATGCCGTCGGAGCCGAAGTCTGCGGGCACATAAATTATTAACCCCCGTCTATCCCCGATGCTTTGCCCAGGGCTGTCTAAATGTGAAATCATATCAGGCTTTTTCTTGTTCACTTCCCATCTGCTGTAGGAGAATCCCAATTTATGGGGGGAAAGTTTAAATTCAGCTTCCTTTGAATCACACCCTTTCAAATGAAGGTTGCGATAAATTTTGAATTTGATAATTATAACAAGGGGCCAGGCCTTCTCGCCTGCAGGGGAAGGACTCCCACATCAGATTATCACTCTATACACACAGACTGGGAGGGGTGCCACAAGACATACTCTGCTGAAGGGGAGATTTTCATGGAAGAGAGGGAGGTAACTTCAGGAACTGGGGACTCTGCAAATTGAAACTGTACAAGTTTCACCCAGAATCCCTGATGGGGGCAGCTGGTGTGTGACTGGCCTAGTGTTCACTAGTATGTGCTTCCTGAGAGATCACTTTCCCCAACTTTGTCACTAGTTTTAAAAGGAACCATAATGTTCATGCAGTGTGATAGTCGTGCGAAGGGAATCAGTCCACACTGCGGGTGTGGCAAGCTCCCCAACAATGCTTCTCCATGAAATCTCCATGCTGCTTTGGAGGGATCCCCTCTGCCAATCAATGGGCAGGCCATTCCTCAGGCCTCTTCAGACCAGCTAGGAACTAGCTAGAGCCCAATAGTTCATTGCATTCACTGAGCAGCCATTAAATGGGAACTTTTGGTCCCTGCCAGCCTAAGCTGGATGTTAACCAGCAGCATCAGCTTAAAAGCTCCATGTCCCATTTTCACTCCCCTGTATACCTCCAGTGCCCTGAAGAGACTGTGTTCTGTGGCATGAGCATCCTAACAGGTGGGCAGAATAGCTGGATGCTAGGCACACACTCTCCCTGCCTACCTGCTCCTTTCAACTTCTTGTTAAACCCGTGCACACGTGGGGATTTTCTTGTTCATGGAACTAGCTGGTAGCTCAGTACTAAATGCACCGCTCCCCAAGCTGCAGCAATGGGTGAGGAAGGTTTGTCAGAGCTGGTTGTTTACTGTTCCACTGGTAGCCCCATTGCATGCGAAAGGCTGGGTCTCTCCCCAGTTTATAAAGTTTTCTACTTTCTCTCCTGCAAAACAGCAACACCTTACGAGTGACTCGCTCAGCTGCCCCCAGCACCTTGGACGGCTCAACCTCCAGTGGGACTGCTCAGCTGGGGAAGAAGGGCAAGGAGTTTGACTTCTCACAGCTGCCCATGAAGGTGGAGCTGGTGGAGTGCAGCGCCAGAGGCAGCAAGGCAGAGGAAGGCAGTGCTGACATCGAGGACTTGGAGAAATGGCTGGCCAGGATTGCCTGAAAGCAGGCGGGGAGGAGGGAGGCAGAAACTAGCAAAGGGGAAACTAATGCTAAAGGCATTTGGCATCTGATACGGAAGTACTGATGGGAAGGGGTGGGGCCCAAAATGTAATCTTGCTATGGAAAGAACTTCAGGCATGCGCCGGCAGTAAATGCACTGTTACTTGCACTGGGCTGGGTTTTAATCAACCTATGAACATATTTGCCACTGTGATTTCCGCCAGCTGGAGCTCTTCCTGTTTCTATCCCATGCTCCCCTTCTGGGAGGCTGCCTCTAGTGCTTGAGCTGCAGAGGGTTTAGAGTGGGGTTTCAGTTGGTGTAAGGAGCCTCTGGTTGTCCCAGGCAGCCTCCAAATGGATGGGAGGGTTATGTTTGGCTAGCAGAAATTATTTCAAGATTGGACTGCTTTACCTTGGCATCTCGGCCCTGGTGCCCATGGTCGTTACTAACCTCCCCGCTCATGGCGTCTGATTTCTTCTCCCATTCCTGTCCTCTGTGAATCGGGCACAGTGAGTTTGATCTTTGTGCTGCCACAGCTAAAATGTCCAATTGCGCATGCTACCGGGAAATCCCTGCCTGCTATGGAATGTACTAACGCTGCTTTCACAGGGGTTGGCCAGCCTCCCCCTACTCCCCTCTTCCCACCTCCCTTTCAAAAGGAACACACAGCCAGATTGTCAGATGTGCTCAGCACCCATGTAAGCACCTATATGGAAGTGACCAGATTGTCAGACATGCATAGTAGGGGCTGGAGAGTGCTGAGCACTTCTCAAGATCTGGCCACTTCCGTGTGGGTGCCTAAGTTGGTGCTGAACTCTTGGAAAATCTGACCCAGATAGTAAAGGTGATTGATGATCATTGTGTAAATGGGGGCTGCTGTTCTGTTTGGCTCCAGTCCAGTCTTTGGTGCTGATTTGCTTCTGCAGAGCACACAGTGCTAAGGAAGCTTATGCATTCTTGTACATGACTTCTCGGGAGTGGTGTACAGTTTTATAATGTGATCTTCATAAATGCACAAAACAGTATTTGTAACAAAAATGGTTGGTCTAGGTTAAACTACTGGGAGACCTGTATGCCTGGGTGTGAATATAACCCACTTCTCCTTCCCGGGGCTCCAGCCTGAGAGTTGGATTCACCTCTCTCCACGCAGACATGCCCCACTTTCGGCTCCGTTTTTTCTTGAGACAGGACAGCAGCTTGCTGGTGCTCAGGTTGTGCTCTGGAGCCACCTGTGCCTTTAGCATCAGGAGTGCAGCACCCATACGGAGGGAACGGAAACCAGAGCAGTCGGAAGTGAACCTGACTAGCTAGATGGTGTCTCTCATATAGAGGCTTGGTTGCTTATCTTATGTGATTGTGCCCCTAATCTCCTGGTGAAATTCTGGCTCCTTTGAAGTCAGTGGGAGCTTTGCCATTGACTTCATTGGCCAGGAGTTCACCCTTGATCTTTAACTGGGGCGGGGTCTAGAGTTACAGCTGAATTTAGCAGACTCGCAACGAATATGTATTAAAACCCCATTCAGGTGCGTGTTTCGCCTGTTTTTTGTCTCCCGGACTTTCAGTTAGGCCCTCCTCCTGCAAACGTGCACGTATGGGCTCGCTCAGTTCAGCACATTAGTAAGAGGTTTGAAGAACAGAACTGTCCCCATGTGGGATCTGCATGCACCTCTGACTCAGTGATGTCGTAAGCAGAGTTTGACATCAGAATTGTCCTAGAATGAATTGTGTTGTCACTTCAGTTGGACGAGGCTGTAAAAAGGAGGTAGAGGTTGACTTTTAAAGGCGTTTTTTCTTGTTTACAGATGAAGTCAGTGATTGTCATAGGAGCCAGGAATAGCTTCACAGAGGGCCTAAGAAGATCAGTTTACTGACATGAATGGGAGCAGTTGTTGCAGTTTAGGTGTTTCTGATGAAGGTTCTTGATGACAAGAGAAAGCACTGGAAGTTTCCCAGTTCTTGTTACATGTTTGTCTCGTGTAATGTTTAAAGCCAAGAGATCTGCTGTGGTTTCCAGATGCGGTGCCCTGTTGTGTGTTACACGTATTATGCTTAATTTTGCAAAGGAACAATTCTGTAGCAGTCTACTTCTTCCTGCAGATGTACTGAGCCCATTGGGGTCTAGTCCAGGACCTGTCGGAGTCTGACTTTAGCACATGTTGGATCAGGTCTAAGAGCTCTTTCCAAAGGTGGAAAGAATGAACTGACTGATCTTGGGAGAGATTCCACAAACAAGCCTGCAGGGTGTTAGCAGCAGAAGCTGGTGGGGGTGGAGGGTGGCAAACTGTTGTTGGTTGCAATGCTGCTGTGTCTTAATGGGCTGGCTGAGGAGATAACACATCCTCTTGGTAACCATTGGAAAAGGTCACCAAGAGGATTTCTTGACTCCCAATGGGGGCTCTGGCAGTGAGCATTGTCTGTGCCTCCAGCGGAGCTCACTGCAGGCTCAGCTGGGGGGAATCCTTTGTGATGCTGGATTGTTCATCTTGCCTCTGCTTCCTTAATAGGAACCTTCTCTGCAAAGAGGTGCTCACTGACCAGAGGCCTCCTGCTGCTAATAAGTTTGTGGTCTGCTGACAATTGCCTCCGTACTGTATCTGCTGAAGAAAGCAGCTGCTGGTACTCAGGAAATGCCGTCCCTGGGTTTTTTGTGGCGGGATTTGGCATTATCTCTGTGGCAGCCACTCTCCTGGTCTAGAGGGTGGGAGGGAGGTGGTGGCTGGTCCTCTGCTTGGCTATGTTGGTAAGAATTCAGTATTTGAACTTTGCTCCTGGCAAATCTTGTTCCCTCCCCTACTTTCAGCCTGATGTTCTCTGTGGGCCCCTTCTTGCCATGTCAAGCAATACACCACAGCGTATCTTCTGTCAAAGGTTACATTCTGTATCCACATATTCTTCTCTCTGACGTCGGTACGCTCTGCTCTCCTTAGCACTAACGGGTGTATAAAGCTATACAGCAAGAACAGATTGACTTGTGCTACTCCCATCAATTGGAGAAAGGTGTTTTGTTTGCAAACAGCATATTTTCTTGAAGAGAAGTGAATGTCTGAGCTGGGCTTTGCATCCAAAACTGCCGAACCTTAATGAGATGAATCCTCTCTTAAAACTGTGTGACCAGCCCTGTTCATTGCAGCAGCAGTTGGGAGGATTAAATATACTGCTAACACTTGGTGTCAGTGGAGGAGTGAGGGGGTGGCATGCTGAACTGCCCCTCCTTTGCTTCCCCTCCCCACCCCCCCAGCCCAGACACCTCCTACCCCTTCCCACGGCTCCCTCTTTGAGTTGGGAATGCTAAGACAGTACACTTTCCAATGCCTCTTTGGGAGATAGGTCCTTCCCAGGCTGCTCTGATTTAAAAACCTATCTTTCGGCTGAGAGAGAAGCCAACCTGGATGCTCAGGTCGCAAGCCGAAGGGCTCACTAGCCAAATGATTTTTGCATTAAGTATGTTGTGCTCTTCAATTTCAAAGCATAAACTTTACAGCAACAGAATGTTGCTGGAGCTATTGGTCACCAGTCACATTTTGAATTCAGACAATTGCCCTGGCTAACTGATCTGGTCAGTCTGTACCCGCAATCCTGAAGCAAGGAATGAAGAACTTATGCTTTTTTTCCCCTTTTGCTACCAGCAGCCTACTTCTTGAGAAGCCCCAGCCTACAGGGGATGAGGACCTAAGATCCTGTTTGCTTTTAAATTATTCTCGGTAAATGTGGTTACTTAAATAAAGAAGTTTGGCTACGTCTTGTCAGTCCTCATTCAGTGCTGGAAGCAGCCATCTGTTGCTGTCCTTTCCTGGCTTCTCTTTTCACCAGGCCCACCAACAGTGCTAAGCCAGGCAGAATGGGGCAGCTCCTTATTAACGGGGCACTAAATAGCCCTTGAGCCAGGGATGTTTCTCTGAATGTTGGTTAGTGGAAGAGCTGTTGCCCTCATAACAAATTTCAAATGGTTTGTTCTGGCTCAGCGTCGTGAAACCAGGGCAAACCTGGCTTCTGTTGATTGAGCTTAATTCAGTAAGAAAGCGACTTACGCTAAATCATTAAGTGAGGCTTAAATCAAATTCAGTGTGTGTCCACCCAGGGGCTTGCACTGCTTAGCTGGCATTATTAAACTGCTTTTGGTCACACCAGTTTAACTTCCCTATAGATGTGGCCTCACCTGTGTCTCTGAGCCCTGGAGTGTTAGCAGCGGTCTTGCAGCTACATCTGTGCGGTGACACACCCCAGCCCCGTGACTTTGTTCCACTCAGCTAGCTGAGCCAGCACAGTGTTGGCAGGAACCTACTGTTGCTGCTCATTTTCCTGTTGTGTCTTGCAGAGAGACACCTGCTGGCCTGGGAGTAGAGATGCTTCCATAGGTCCTTCCACCCATAAGGCTGGTGTGCCACTTCGTGGTCACAGGCAGGAGGGACTGGAGGGGTGCTGCTTCAGTAAAAATAAGCAAGCTCCTACCCTCCTCTCCCCAACTGCAGCCCCACTTTGGCTCCCTTCAAATCAGCTGCCCTTAGTGTACGTTTAAGGCAAACCCCTGGACATCCTAAGGTTGGGACTCTGGTTTCCGTCAATGCAGCCGTACCTCCATGAGTGGCCTGCTTAACGAGAGCAGGGGCTATGGCAGACTTCTCCTATGGCTGCTAATTGGTCTCTTCCTCCTCCACAGTGCAGCACTTTGCTAAGTCTGTGGTGCAGTGAGGAGCTGGTTCTGGAAGAGGGAAGGCCCAGCAACCAGGCAGTGGTTTAACATCATCATCTCTTCCCCTGCATCAGGCTGAAGAAGGCCCTCCTTTGCCCAAGGGTGAGGTATGGAGAGAGTCTTCTCTGGCCTGCCAGGAATAAAGGGGCATAGAGTGTATCAGTAGTGACCCTCACCATAGGCCATCAGCCAGGCTACAACCTGCAGCTCCCAAAAGCAAGTCTCTGCTGTCGGCAGTGGTAGGCTATTAGCCTCTATGTGAACTAGCCACTTGAGGGGAGCGCTGCAAACTCAACTAGCGGGTTACCCCTCCTCTGTACTAGAAGCCAGGAAGTGCTATAAGAGACAATGGAAAGTCCTGTCCCCTGACTAGCCAGCAGATGAGATTCAGGGGATGGAGACCAAGGCTTGGCATTTTCCCCATGCAGTCATTATCTTAATGCCTTTCCCAAGCCCCACCCAGCTGTTGGGAGAAAAGGGCACTGCACTCGCTTTGTCCCTGTTGAGCCGGTGGAAGAGGTGGTTTCAAATCATGACTGCTTTCAGGAGATGGACACGGGCTCAGGGTGTCCTGGGAATTTATTCTGCTGGCCCTTGGGCAACCCACCTAACTGAGCAGCAGACAGGGTGAAGAGGAAAAGAAACGCCACAACTTTCCATTCTGTTTTTAAAAACCAGGCTAATTGCTTGGATTAAGCGACTGTCCATGAAGCGTGTGACTTAGGGGGGAGCGCAGTGTGTGCAGAACTCTGCTATGGCCAGGAGGAGGGCAAAAGCCCTGATGATGCTCGCAGCATGTAGGTCCTAGCCAAGCTGTGATGGGGAAGATGCATCAGCCCTAATGTGTCTTTCTGTCCTGCTGACACTATCCATGAGTGCTGCTGTCGGAGAGGAGCCATTTTCATTTGGTCTTAGACGTATGGGTTTTCACATGGGGAGAGCTGTGATGTGTAGGAGAGCTCTACAGTGGTGTGAAAGGGCTTTGATCAGGGTTCCCACCCGATGGTACGTGAGCTTGTCGGAGGTAGTATGGTGTAGCAGGGGTCTGTCCCCTATAAGGGGTAATGGGCTGGAGCAGCCAACCCCTGTTCTGTCCATGACTCCTTTAAGGGAGAAGCAGACTAGCTGGGGAATAGGGCCAGGCTTTATTCAGGGAGCCTACATGCTTAACCTGATAACACACAGCTGCTAGGTGACTCCTCAGAGAGAGGGCAGACACGGCCTCAGCAAGGGAATTATGGGAGAGCTTGGAGACAGGACAGGGGTTCCCTGGGATGGGAGCCGGAAGGGGGACCGGGGAAGCTTGGCTGAATCAGCCCAGTCTTAACAGGGAGGCCAGGAACCAAGGGGAAGGTGCGAGTCCATGGACCGAGAGCAGCTCTGCAGACTAGGGCTAGAACCCAGCAACCAGTGTCTGGGGAAGCCTGTTTGAATCACAGCCCAGCCCCAAGCTTCCTCACCCAAGGGGAAGGAGTTGTGAGTCCAGGGCAGGAGGGGACCTGTGGGAAAGACACTCCAGAGGAGCCGGGACTGGCTGTGCATCCTGCTGCAGAGGGAAGGAGGCGAACTGGGACCCTGAAGCCTTAGAGCAAAGGGGAATTGGTGGGAAGTGGGGGCTTTACCTGGATATTAGCTCCAAAATTCTCCCATCTCTTTACCCCTCCCCTGTGAGCCCTCGCTGCCCTTCTACATGCACACGGGCACATATGGCACCAGAACATCTGAGCACTTTTATTTACACACACACACACAGAGTTACCAGAACACCCGAGCCGTCTTACACACACACACACATCTTGGCCGGACTGCCCTTTAACACGCACTGACATGCCCCACCAGAGCAGCCCCTGCTCTCTCGCCGAAGCCCCTGCTCTCAGACTAGCCTCATTGGAGTTGGGCAGGAAACAGCTGTCCGGTCTCTCAGAACTTTGTGTGACTTGGAATGCTTTCCTGTTCTGCACCAGGGTGAACATGAGACGTTGTAGTTCGCTGTGACAAGCCAGAGAGATGCCTCCAGTCCAGACCAGCCAATAGCCTGCTGCACGGGGCGCTCACCTGGGATGTGGGAGGCCTGATTCTGAATCAGGCAGACCAGGGACTTGACTAGTCTCCCCCATCCTATGTAAGTGCCCTACCCACCAGGCTATTCTGGGGCAGGTCTCCCCCTCTCTTGGGTTTGATCAGTAATTCCACCATGGACTCCAGGAAAGTTTATTGAAACTGGCTCATTCCCATGAAAAGTTTTGGTTTTGACAAATGGGCATTTGCTGATGAAAAAACCATTATGTTGCAAAATTCCCAACCAGCTTGTAGTAGGAAGAGAGCCTAAGACATAAGCCCTTGCATCAGAGGCCTGGTATAAGGCCTGAGGCCTGGGCTAAAGTAGTAGTCAAAGCTTTACTAATATAAAGCAAAAACAAGCTGTGAGCAAAAGGCAGGACCTGCTCACAAAATCTGACAAAAACAGGGCTAATATTGCAAAAATACCCATTCCTAAGAAGTGCTAGGCACAGAGTACTCATGCAAACACATCCCAGTATTATGGGTGGCACATTGTATGGGCCCGTGGTGCCTGTGCTCCAGGAATATTCAGAGCACGGGGGCCCAGCTCCACCAATGTTCGGGACCGAGTCTCTCCCCCGGCCCCGCCTGCTGCCCCTGGAATCGGCCAGCACTTCCCTGCGGCCCCTGGGGGGGGAGGGGTGTCTCTGCACGCTGCCCCCGCCCCGAGTGCCAACTCTGCCATTGACACTGCTGCCAAAGGGAGCTGCGGAGGCAGTGCCTGCAGGCAGCAGCACATGGAGACCCCCAGTCCTCCCACCTAGGAGCTGCTGCCAGAGGGGTGTGTGGGTCGCTTTCGGGAGTCACCCAAGGTAAGCGCTGCACCCCTCACCCCCTCCCAACCCCCTGCCCCAGCCCAGAGCCTGCACCCCTCACCCAAACTCCCTCCCAGAGCTCAACCTCTCACCCCTCCTGCACCCAAACTCCCTCCCTGAGCCAGCACCCCTCACCCCCTCCTGCACTCAAACTCCCTCCCAGAACCTGAACCCCTCCTGCACCCAAACTCCTTCCCAGAGCCTGCACCCCTCACTCCCTCCTGCACTCAAACTCCCTCCCAGAACCTGAACCCCTCCTGCACCCAAACTCCTTCCCAGAGCCCGCACCCCCTCCTGCACTCCAGCCCCAGCACCGAGCCTGCACCCAGCACCCAAACTCCCTCCCAGAGCATTAGGCAGGTGTGTGTGTTTGGGGAGGGGGACGGACTTGGACCTGTTCTGGTCACTAAAAATTATACAAACCTGCTGCCCCTGCCCAATATCAAGTAGTACCAAAATATCTCAATATCAAGGATGGTACAAAAACATTTCCCAAGGATAACAGGAACACACTGACCTCTCCTAAAAGATGAGGTCAGGATAACAGTATGTAATAGAGATGTTTTAATCAAACCAACATGTACAAGGTGATGGGTAATAACTAGCCACATCAGGGGGCAGTAACTAACTATGTCAAAGGTGCAGTACATACATTTTTATATCCCAATACAAACAAGTTATCTCAGAGGAACTGTCTTTGTCTAGCCTAGGGAGGAATGGAATGTCCTGCCGTTCAATGAGCTGATCCATTGTTACGGGCATACATGTATTAGAGGTCCAGTAGAGTCTGTGGGATACTAGTACCATGCTTTGTTGACAATAAACCTGGCCTGGTGCCTTCATACCTTGACAGATCTTGTGGTCATTGAGCAGTTTGCTCGAAGTCTGCTCTGCTGGCTGTCTGCACAGAGCAGGGGCAGCACACAGGAAGAACACAAAACACACACACACACACACAGGGCCGGCTCTGGCTTTTTGGCCGCTCAAAGCAAAAAAACCAGGGCGGCCAGAACGGCAAAGCAGTGATCTGTGCGCTGGACCGCAGGTGCAGGGGGACCGGCTAGTGGGGGGGAGGGAGTGGGAGCAGGTGCGCTGCCACGCGGCCCCTCCCGCCGCGCTGCCTACCGGGAGGGCTCCGCTCCGGTCAGCGGGGAGGGAAGGACGAGGACT